TTTAAATATGAAGTAAATTTTACCTTAGTTTATGTTGTTATTTACTTGTCGTTTTCTTTCTTTTCCTTGGATTGTTGTTATTTGTTCTTAGTATTCTTTGTTTATTCTTTTTTTGTTTTGTCTTTTAAACTTGTTTCGAGTATGATGTAGTATTTAATGTATCTTTATTTCACGAATAAAAGCATTTTAAAAGCATGTAGTAAACTTTATTTTCAGTGCCGTTTCCTTTGTACTAAATTGCACGACTAGATATGTTTATTTGAAATATCTCAATAAATGTATTTTTATTTTCATTTTCCTTTGTTCAATCTCTTTATCACTATTTTACTGACTTGTTTCAAGTGAGTTAAATATGCAATTTGATTCGTGTGAATCTGATCCTCCTTCTCCCACAATTCCTTATTACGCTCCTTCCTCACTCGTCTCTTTCATTCACATCTCTCTATCTATTTTTCCGTATTATTCCATATAGTCTGATTTATTTGACGTAGTCCCATTTTTTTCTCTATGTGTTGGGGGCTTTCGAGGGGGGTTATTTTTTAACCCACACCCGCACGCCGGGGCCACATGAACCTTTTTTATACCCCATTCCTTGTATCCCTATTCCTGTTATATTAACTGCACCAGTTGTTTTATATGGTTGAAAAATGCGAAATAGAATTCGACTAATGAGTTTTCAAACGCGATGGAATTGAACCTTGATGAATGGTCAGTGCTACCAAATGGAAGCAACGAGAACAAGAGCCTGAACTGCGAATTTTATATTATTGGGCATACAGGCGATGTTAAATAATGAGGACATATTATTATTGAGCAAATGGCATAAAAAACAAGTTAAAAAAACCTACACCATATATTCACACACACAATAACGCAAACAATATTATCAATATGTACATACATACTATATCTGAGTTAATATAGTCTATAATGTACGTACATTAACCATTAACAAATATAAGTAATAAGTATGAATGTATAGTAAGAAGTAATAGGAGTTTATAATATAAACAAGAATGTTAGCGGTAAATAATGAAAGGCTGAAAGGAGATATAATACGAACTGTAAAGCGTTAATATTATATTTATTGCCGTTTATGTATGTATATATGGTTAATATTTTAGGGTTATATATACATAGCACATAAGAATTAATTACACAATACAGATTACAAGTAGATAACAATACTAATAATAAGGTACTCTCTATTATATATATATATAATATATACATACTACATACATACATACATACATAAACACACACACACCACACACACACACACACACACACACCACACATCACACACAACACATCACACACACACACACACACACACCACACACACACACACACGGCACGCACACACACAACACGGCGCCACACACACGCGCGCACACACACGCGCGCACACCACACACACACACACACACACAACACACACACACGACACACAACAACGCGACTAACACACAGCGACACACGACACAACACCAGCTCACAACATATACACACACACACTAACAAGCATATAAGGAGAAGGAGAAGTAAGAGGCAAATTAGTATAAAGAAAGATAATGAGTCTCATAAAGTAGTTATATTAAAGAAGAATAATGAAATATTAGTATTGTAATGTGATATATATAAGTTAAATATATAATTATCGATAGAATAGAATATATATATGTTGCAACACACACACACACACACACACACACTCACACACACACACACTATACACATCCACTTCACACGACACACCCACCACTCACTCACATACGATCTGCACTCAACATCAACTCACTACACATAACTCAACTCCACTCTCACTCACATAACAACTAAACACGAGACAGCAACGCAACACAGACATACAACATATAAGTTATATAAACATGTGTAGGTGTGGTGTATATAATATAATATATATATATAGTGCTAAGAAATTATATAAAGTTTAAAGTAGAGTAATTAAAGTTATATATATGTGAATTGTGTGTGTGATGTTGTGTGTGATGTGAAATAGTAGGGGAGATGTGAATATGAGTGTGATGCGATATTGGTGATATGTAATGCGACCAATTCTAAGTATAGTGGTATAAAATATAGAAATCGTGATAACTAAAGTGCTAATATAAATAAATACCTAAATGATAGAATGAGTATCAATATTAGGGAAAACCTGTACTAATCTGTATTGTATGATACGAAGCCGGACGGATATAGAAATAGCTATAGCTATATAAGTCTACGGATAAATATAAGTGTGAAATAAACAGCTATATATACAGCTCATAATAGGTATTAGTATGCGCGGATAATAGTATGTGTGATCATAAGAAATAACACGTATTATATATGATACTGAGAAGTATATATACATATATAATGATAAATGATTATAATAATAGGTATAGGAGTAGGGGTATAATGGTATATTAGGATTATAGTATATATGTATGTATGTATGTATAAGTGGATGTATGTATGTATGTATGTATGTAGGGATGTTGGTATGTATGTATGTATATATATATATATATACACATAAAATAATACATATAACATAGATTACACACCACATATATATATATAGTAATATATATATAGTATATAATTAGGTATGCATGGTAGTTTAGTGTAATGTAGTGTTAATGTAGTATGTACACACGACACCAACATCACACTCAATGTATGTAAGAATGAGTGTAGAGGATAGAGTGACGGAATAGGATATAGTATCTGACATAAGTATGACATTATAGTAATTCTAGATGATACTTATAGAATAAGATACTATATGAGTAGGCGATAATAGTGAGTATAGATAATTGTATTATATATGGGATATAATATAGCAGGTAAATATGATAGTACATAATATATAATCGATATAGAGAACCTATAATATCTACAGTAATGATCATATATTATACTATTAATTCAGAGTATAGTAATAGAATTAACTATAAAGGATAAATAGTAATATATTAATATGAAGAGTATAAGCATAGTATATAATAGTAGTATATTAAATGATATTATATAAATTATAATATATCATATATATACATTACATATAGGTATATAAGTATATTATATAAAGAATGAATGATAAATTAGGATATGTAGGTATAATTAAAGTAGGTATAGGTAAGTGGTATACAAGTATAACGTACTAATATATACACACACACATATACTAATATTATACATAGAATAATTAATATATAGTAGATATATAGATTAAAGTTTAAATAGTGTTTAAAAAATTATTTTATAAACATAATATATAAAACAAGTATACAAATATAAAAAGCAATATAAGGATATAATAAGTGATATATACGTTATAACATATATATGACATAATATAATAAATAATTAAAGATACATAATCACATGATTATAAACAGAAATATAAGATGATATAATAAGAGGTAAGTATAATAATAGTAAGGAATGTGGTCTCAAATATAAATTATATAAAATATACATAATATGATATAAAATATAAATATAAATATAGTATATATAGAACTATATAAATTATTATTATATATATGTGATGTGTATGCATGTGATGTGTGTGGTGTAGTGTGAGACAACACTGTGTGTGTGGATGTGTGTTGTGTGTGTTGATGATGGTGTCGTGATTATACATGTAGTGATATACAAATACATATGACAAGAGAATAACGTAACAATATAGCGAATATATAAGAAGCTGATATATATATATATAAAATAATGTGAAATAGGATAGTAATATTTATATAGTAACACACGATAATATACGAGGTAATATAATAGAAGACTTAATGTTATACATAGCATACATATGAAGTAGAGATGAGTAAAGAAATGAAAGGATATGTAACTATTAGTGATAATAATAATATAGAGAAATAAATATAGCTGAGTTATATGTATATGTAGATATATGATATGTATTGTAAAATAAATAATAATCGCTCATGATAAACGAGGCTCATATTAATAAGTATAAACTAACTTCAATTACTTAATAAGAATACGGGAATATATATATATATATATATATAAGTGTGGTAGTAGCCATATATATAATAAAACATATATTATACCAAAGGGCGCAGGAGTATAGTAGTAGAACAATCTATATATATATACAGTATTCAGTATAAACTATATATATTTATATATATAGGTGATTAACTGTTAAACGCTGCACTACTACATGTGATCACATAGAAATTTAGATGTAGGTGAATATATGTAGCTAGATATAATGGACTATATAAAATAAATATGGGACTTAAAGCTATAGATATGTAATATAGATAATATATTATCAGTGTGTCGTGTGTGTGTGTGAGTTGTGTGTGTGTGTGTGTGTGTGTAAATAACGATACATAAGCGAGTGAGCTAATATATAATATTAAATAATTATATATAGCCCTAAATATACTAATATCAGAAAGCGATAAATAAAAATTGACTATAAGTGATATATGATTATAATCATATACACACACAGACACACACACACACACCCACACAGGCAATATACACACACACACACAACACACACACACACGAGCAAGCACTCACACACACAAACCGACACACGACCAACACAACAAACAGGCCACACATCACTAATTATATAATAATAGTCTAATGAGCGTATATGAGTATAGAGTAGTGTGTAAATAATAAATATATGTATACAATTACATACATACATAATTCATAACCAATTATATAATTAAGTGAATATAGATAGTATAATCATAAATTATATAAAGTTAAGTTATATACATATATATTACAAGAAAGTATATAAGTTAATACGGAAGGATATATATGATATAAATATGATAGTATAGTAGAAGTATTACATATATAGTATAATATATAGTATAAAAGGGAATAAGCGTTATTACATATATACACAAACACACATCAACACACAGACTAACACTACACCACACACACACACGCAACACATACGACACACACACAAACACACACACACAACACCATCAAAGCACAAATGATTAATAAGCTAAAATGCATATGATAATAAGACGGATAAAAATATATGACCAATATTGTATAATGAGAATAGTAATAATATAAAGGTATTTAATTATAATATACATAAAGAAGGTATAAACTCATAAAAATTTATATAGATTAAAGTTTAAGCAATACTATATATAGAGGAGGAGTAGTACATAGTTATAAATATTGCGGCTACTATATGTTATATGATATATATATCATATTATATAATAGCAGTATATAATGGTTACAAACTGGTGTGGATTAATAATAATAGTATGAGTTATACATATAATTAAATAAAAACCACTATACATATTACATATACCTATATGCTGAAACCATAGTGAACCAAATATACAAACTAGATATAACATAACAGGCGTATTATTACTCATAAATATAATATAATAACAAACTGTCTCATACTTCAGGTGAATATATAATAATAATATCTCACGTTATATTGGGTCATATATATAGCAATTCACAATATACTATTATACTTATCTCACTACACTTAACTCTTATGGTTATCATTAGTGTTATCATTTATAATCATTCATCATTTTATTTATTATATTATTATTGATTATATTATTATCATTATCACTATTATTATTATTATATATATATAATATTTATTATTATCATTGTTATCATTATCACTATTATTATTATTATTATTATTATTATTATTATTATTATTAATCATTATTATCATCATCATCAGTAATTATCATCATTATTATAATTGCTATCATTAATATTATTACCAATATCATTCAACTTTTATCATTGGTATTATTCATAATCTTATCGCCATTGTTATCATATATCGTGTTATCATTGTTTTTAATTAATTTTATATATTGTTTTTAACAATTTTATCATTTTTTATTTATAATTTTATCATTATTATCATTATTATCATCACCATTATTTTATTATCAACACAGAGACACATTCACACACACACTCACACACACACACACACACACACACACACACACACACACACACACACACACACACGTAGGTGTTATCAGTCAATATTAGTTTAAAGGAAAACAAATAACAAGATGAAACTGCTTTCCCTTTTCATTTTCGCCTTGTCTCATTTTCTTGGGACTTGCATTCTTTCTCTGTCATTCCCTCTTTCTGTCTTCTCCTTCCATGATCCTATTTTCTCCCATACCTTTCATTCGTGTATTTTTTTCTTTTCGTCAACCCATTTTATGATTTTTTTTTTTTTTTTTTTCATCTCCCTCTCCTTTTTCCTATCTTTTCTCCTGTCTGTTTACTCTCCCTGTTTCTTCACTCCACTGTTCTTCCCTTTTCACTTCCCTCTCCTTATTCTTCCTTTCTCTCCACTTCCCTCTTCATCTTCCTCTCTCTCTCTCTCTCCATTCCCTCTCCTCTCATTCACTCTCAGGCCTCATCCTCCCTTCCTTCCTGTGTGCATTGTTCCACCTCCAGCAACGAGTTCATGACGTTTTGCATGACCTGCACGACAGTCTCCCTTACAGAAAAGAAACTTGCATGCCCCAACATTTCTTGTATCGTGTCTCTGCACAACACGCATGACTACAGTGTAAATGCACAACACGAGTAGGCACATAAGGCTGTTCACTGTGCGTTGCTTTGGATGATTTTTCATTTGATTATTCTTTATCATCTGTTATCTTATTTACGTGTTTCCGTATCATCATTTTCTTGTTCTTAATAATGTTCTGATGATTTAGCCTTTATATAACACATCTCTGAAGTTCTAGCTTTCCTTATTTAAGATTCTGTTGATGCTAAATGTTTAGCTTACATTGCCAGGTCATTATTTTGTACATAGATTCACACTGTAATACATCTCTGTCAGTTAATAGTTATATTTTGTTATACTTTCGTAAATTATTAAAGAAACACACATCCTTGCATCATTTTTATCTTGATGTTGTAATAAAATAATTCCGAAGATCCTTTTAAAAAGTCCTATAGTAGAAAAAATAAAAATCTCAAATATAGGGATTTAAAATAATAATTCTCTCCTTTCTAGTCAACATTACTGATCTATCCCTCTCTCTGTCTCACCCCCTCTTCTCCCTGCCATCCCACCTCCCTCTCTCTCTCGCAAGAGAGTAAACAAATGTGCTCATTTCTTTCGTTCTATTCGTTTTCAAGTTTCCTTTAACATCCATTGTCCTCCTAAAAAGTCTTCTCGTCCCTCGAGAAGGGAAGCGCAATCCGGCCGGAGCATAACGCGTGTCCGTTTCCTCAGGTGACCGGCTCCCTGCAACAAATAACACAGACACAACAGTCTCTCACAACCGCCACCCAGCAGCACCAGGCGCCCGTCAGCAAGCAATACAACAGCCCGCAAGCACTCTATTCCCCCGAGAACGTGCAGGAGGTGCTTCGGCAACAGACCTCGCCCACGCACGTCCCCACCCTCAAGCCGTGAGTATTCGTGAGTCAGGGGCATTCACTGAGTCAGGAGATGAGTCACGGATGAGTGATGTGGTCTTTTCGGATGAGTAGCGGGATGGGGCAGCGCTGTTGCCATCGTCATCACTGTGATTACTGGCATTTCTCTTATAATATCGTCATTATTGTTCATTATGTTACTGTTATTTTCATCACCAGCTTTTTGTTTCATCACCATCATTATTGCTGTTCTCGATATTATCATTATCATTATCATGATTAGTTTGATATTATTATTATTATTATTATTATTATCATTATTATTATCATTATCATTATCATTATTATTATCATTATCGTTATTATTTTTATTGATATCATTATCAGCATCATTAGTATTAGTATTATGATCATCATTATTATCATCATCAATAATTTTGTTTTTTTATAATCATCATCATCGTCATTATCTTTTTCTATATCATTATCATTAGCTTCATCATTATTATTATGGTTCTCATTATAGTTGTTATTATCATTAGTAGTAGCATTTTTCAAGATAGTTTTTGATTTTGTTTATTTAATGATGATAGTGATAATAATAATAATAATAATAATAATAATATAATTATTATTATCATTGTTATCATTCATCATTATCATTGTTATCATTATTGCTATCATTATTTTTTGCTATAAATATTGCTATCATAAGTACAACTAACTATTATTATTACTGTTATTTTCATTTTTATTATCATTGTGATCATTATCATTATCATCATCTTGACTATTATCATTATCAGTATTATCACTATCATCCTCGTTATCATTATCATTACCATCGACATTTATTGCCATTGAGTAAATAGTAAATGGTAGCAGTGTCTCTTGTTCTTTTTTTTTGTTCTCACGTAACCAATTTCGTTTTTGTGGGAGAGAGAAGACACATTTTATTCCCCTTTTGCATTTTTTTTCTATTTTTTCTACGGTCAAAACTAATCCTACATGTGGATAACGAATAGTAATGACAAAACTGATTATGCTAATGATATATTAGACCAAATGAGGAAGAGCTAACTGATTCTGATTCGCATATTTTCATCTTAGGTTCGGATCCCCTCCCCCCATTTCTCGTTGTACTATATGAATCATAAATGTTATAATTCGGTCCCTTATATTTGTCTCTTTTTAATGAAATAATATGTCTTAAAAGGGTCTTCGGGACGGAACCTTCTCCAGTTTTTTTTCTTTTTCTTCTTCTTCCTACATGTCAGCATGAGGAGACATTTGGCCTAAGTGTTGTTTTTTTCGAATATGCCGCTGTCATGTCACTGTCAATGGACCGTCACATTCTACGTTCCCTTGTTCACTCTGCCTGTCATCAGCTGTTTTATTAAGTGTCTGGAAACAGAGGTTCATAACTTCGGTTCCTGTCTCTTTACTTTTTATTTCCACTTTTTTCTGTGACTTTATGCTTTCTTTGATTTTGCAGATTTTAATCCTGATTTTAAATCGACAAACCCGTCTGTGTTTCCTTCAGACTGTTTATTCAGGAATACCAAGGAAAATATAGCAGAAAATATAAGAACACGATAGAAATTATTATGTAAGGTACATAAGTCTAGGTCTGAGGGTCCTTCAGTGTTACATTTTATTATTTTTTTGTCTTTATGCAGACACAAAGTTACCTACAAATCAAGGATGATAATTAACTAAATTCATCAACTTATCAACACTGTGCCCTCAAGGTAAAAAGCATCACATGCCACATCTAACATAAAAGTGACTTAATTTCAAAGAACTTGTTCCTGCTGTCTTCTTTCTTTCATTCTATCTACACATTATCTTTAAGTCTCAGATGAGGTAGACAAAGTTGTTCCTGTCTTTTCTTTTGTTTTTCTTTTATATGCATCTTCACAACAAGTAGGCTACAGTTTACTTTTAGTTATTTTTCATGTGTTAACTTACTGTTTATTTTATCTTGCTAAGCTTGCTCTGATTCTTAAAAAAAAAAAAAAAAAAAAAAAAAAAATCATCAAGAAAACTAAAGCAGCCTTTTAACAGCTCTGCTAATCTTTGGTAGTTCTCTGAATTCTCTCGGAGTGCTGCTGCTGCTGACGCTGCGAAAGCCCTAAGAAAAGTGAGGCAAGTGTACCACTAAATTTTACGTTCATGTGCACTGGCTGGTCGGAATGGTTAGAGTAGAAGGTCTAGCTCTAGATCACTAACTTTGGAAGAGGATGCATCTCCGTTTTCTTCTTTTTTTTTTTTGCCTAAGATAACGTTTGCTGATATATATTTATACATTTTTAAAGATAAGCTATAATCAGGTATATTTTTGTATATATAGACGTAATTTTAGTAATTTTTATTTTTTTTTTAATCTCCATTGTTTTTCTACTTATCGACATGTGCTACCCAGGGCCGCTAGAACACGCCAGGCTTTGTCACAATAAAAGATTTTGGGATTTATTACATATCTGATCAAATGAGGCGTGGATTACAGTGCCGGAGGGCACGCGGCCGTGGC